ACAAAATTATTAGGTTATTGGTTTTGTCATGTATTGTCTAAACTAAAAAAGACTCTGAACGGTGATGTTTAAAACGATCAATAAACACATATGTTATACAGTCGAACCTATGTCTTAACTGACTTTACTGGAACAGGGAAAGGAGTTGGGAAGACTCTGGACAACCTATAGTTTCCTCCTCAACTTATACCCCAGTCAATGTAAAGGGCAGGTGATGCTAATGCTATTGCAACCATGGCCTTCTCTTGCTCGAAATGTTTCTTGAATATCTTAGGGCGACAACCTTTCAGTTCGCTAGACCCATTACTGAACTAAACTCAGAAGGACCACCCCACCGCATCAGCAGCTTTTTGGGTCGGTTTGTGTTTTCCTGGCTGACATTTTCTGACTTTCACCTTGCAGTTCATAAGGTGTATTAGTAGTTTTATTTACGCAACTTGCAGTGTGATTTACTTTGGGCGAGGTGGATTGTGTCTTCTAGTTGTTCGCAAACTTCAGGTCGTTCAAATTTTTCTGACAGCTGAAACGGCTAAATTATAGTCTGTAGACCCTAAAGGTAACTTTAAACAGTCAGATATTTGCGGATCAATGTATTGGTACCTCTCTGCTAGCATTTTTGACCGTCCCTCTATTCACAACACTCATAATGATATGCGAGGTTAAAATAATTCAATAATGGGTTCTTTCATGGCTAGTCTAGCGGTCTCACGTGCGATTACGTAATTACCGATAATAAATTCTGGTTTGGCGCGAAAATAAACCATTCTTGCTCTGTTTTTCAGCGGAGCCGCGAAGAGCTGGTCTCTTTTCTTTTGGAAGGTACGACCCACGCGATTTTCTTGACGATTTCCTGATGGCTGAGGGTCAACCTCCGGAGCCGAACGTTCAGTTACTTGTCGATCCTGTAGAGCCAGTCGTGAATCCACCGGTCGTGAACCCGCTAGTTGTGAATCCGCCGGTTGTGAATCCACCGGATGGCAACCAGAATGTTAATGTCGCTCAGCCTCAGGAACTGGAGGTAGTTCTCTTTTAGTTGTTATGAATTCTTTCGTGGCATATTTCTCTTGTCTGTCGTATCTTTCAGGTTCTTCACACAGCATGGTGGAGAGAATAACGGAGAGCTTTGGCCCGATCGCGGCCTGTTATCGAAATCTTTTCGGAAGATTGTCGGGCTATTCCGCGTGGCTAGTTAACGAACTAGCGTTCGGCGTCTGGCTTGTGGCTGGAGGAACGCCGTGGATTCGCTTATTTTGTATTTCTTTCGGCCTTTGTGGTCGTTGGATGGTTACAAAACCGTACGAGCGAGGTGGCCGATTTGTTCGGCGGTGGCTAGTTGACGGATTAGCGGTCGGCGTCTGGCTCTTGGCTAGAGGAACGCCGTGGACTCGCTTGTTTGTATTTTCTTCGGCCTTTGTGGTCGTTGGATGGTTACAAACCGTACAGGCGAGGTGGCCGATTTGTTCGGCGGTGGTTGGTTGACGGACCAGCGTTGAGCGTTTACCTTTTAGCTGGAGGAACGCTGTGGACTCGCTTATTGTACAAGCGACGTGGCCGTTTTGTTCGGCGGTGACATCTAGCTTTTGGCTAGAGCGACGCCGTGAATTCGCTTATGTGTATTTCCTTCAGCCTTTTTGCGGTCGTGGGATGGTTACGAATGGTGACAGCGAGGTGTCATTTGTGTTTTGTCTTTTCCTTCGCACATTGAGGTGGGCGGTGATTAAGAGTCTCTTTTTTCCTTTGCAGAGATTGCGTGAGGAGGTGAGACAGTTAAAGCAGTCAGTGGAGGCAGTAACCAACGCGTCGCCTGAGAAGCTCGTGGAACAGATCTTGGCTTATGCTTCCCGCCCGTTGACAGAGTTTAACAAGTATGAGGTGCTTGAGATGTTGGAGACTCTGCATAACAAGGCCGCTGACCGTAATCATGACAGGAAGAACTTCTATCGGCTCGTTCATCAGTCGGCGAGGGAAAAGGTGGAGTTTTCGAAGGACCACTTCAAGGACCTTGTTATGCGCCTGTTAGGATACAAGGACCACGAGAGGGTCCTGGATATCGTTTCTAAAGTAGAAAAGAAGTCAAATCGCAAGAAGCTCCAAGCGAACGACAACAGGGGTGCTGGTGTGGCACGTCCGTCTCGTCTTTTTTCTTTGCGATGTTATTTTTGTCATAGGCGAGGTCATATCAAAGCTGATTGTCCTGATTTGAAGTCCAAGCAGAGGAAAACGGATCCCAAATCAGACAAGTAGCTTGTGTTTAGATCTCGTTAGTTCGCACCGATGTTATAGGTTGAAGGCCGCCTGGACAAGGCTGTGTGTTGTAATATTCCTTAATTCTTTGCGATAATAAACAAACTTTTGTGCGTATTGAATCAATCTAGTGCATATTTTACTCTGTCTATTTTGTCAACATAGTTATAACGACTTTGAAAAAGGGGTATCCTTGAGACAAGGGCCCTCCAGCCTCCCTGGTCTTAGCTGTTATTTCTCTGTTGACTTTGATTGGGATGATTTTAATATGGTCTTAGATTTTTCGGCGATTCAGTGTTTAAAGGTGTCTTTTCTACCCCTTTTTCCTAGGGAAACGTGTGGTGTTGGGAAAAATCTGACTCCTTTGATCTTCGACTTCAGGAGTTACAAGGCAAAGAAATTGAGCTTCCAATGTCCTGGGTCGATTGTTTCGGTAACCTCGTCGAGGTCAGTGGAGAAGTGACAGCCTGTGACCGTGTTAGATTACAGAGAATACAGAGGGGAGAGTTAATTGGTGATATTTCGGAGTTATTGTTCCGTGACCCACATTGTTTTCGAGCTGGAGAATTGCATAACCATTTCGAGTATTGGCAGTACATTGCGCGAGATAGCTCGTCACCCCAACAGGCACAGATTCTTGGGTGGATAAGGGACAAGGTCTCGATTAAGCCGTTTTTCAAGCATTTTAAAGGAAGTTTTAAAGGAGAATTGTTCGATTCAGACGAGCCTCCGATGAAGGTGTTTAAGAACAATGTCTCTTGCAAGCCCTTTGTGTCATTTGTGGAGGAAACGTTAGTTGCGCGCTTGAGATCTGGAGCTATTTCACTGTTGGGGAGAGTGGGTGTGGTTGACCATTTATTGTTCTTCCCCTTACAGTTGAGCCAACAAAGCCAAGGTTATGTCACGATGCGCGCTATCTTAATTTATGGATGCGTGATATGCCTTTCTCTTTAGACAGGCTGATAGATTTACCGTGTTACGTGGGCAAGGATACCTACCAAATGGTCCTAGACGATAAGTCTGGCTATGACCATATTCTTCTTTCTGAAGACAGCCGCACGTATTTTGGGATCCAATGGGGAGGGTGGTATTTCACGTATAATACCCTCCCTTTTGGGTGGAAGATCTCCCCGTTTGTATATCATACTACTGGCCTGTTGGCTAGTAATTTCCTTAGAGCTACAGGAATCCCTTGTTTGCTCTACATCGATGATCGACACAATGGCGAACTGCAGGTGGCACTCGATAAGGGGGAATACGCTACTACTAACACTGTTGATGATCGTCATCTTGCGGCGGCTAGGTCGGCTATATTTCTTGTTGCTTACCATCTTGTCAGCTTGGGCGATTTCCTTGGTTTGCAAAAGTCAATATTGTTCCCAAGTAAAGTGGTTCCCTACCTTGGTTTTTTAGCGGATTCTTCTAGGGAGGTGTTCTGCTTAAAGCCGGAAAAGAAGGAGAAATTCTTGCAACTTGTCCGTGAAATACTCCATGCCTCTAAGGTTACGGTGAAAACCTTGCAACGCCTGGTTGGGAAATGTGTCTCTTTTAGTCTAGCAGTACCTGCAGCCCAGTTGTTTACGAAGCAGATGAATGCAGCTATTGCCGGTGGCCAACGTACTCCCCACAGGCTAATACCCATCAGGGGGGATCTGCGTGAGGAGATCTCCCATTGGCTGTTTTTGGAAGGTTGGGATGATCCGGTAAGTCATATTCGTGTGTCCGTTGCAACTGATGCTTCCGCATCAGGCTGGGGTGCTATTTTGTTAGCCCCTCATCGTGAGGAAATATCAGATTATTGGACGGAAGAGCAGTGCAAATGGGGGATCGCCGCGAAGGAAGCTACTGCGGTCGACATGGCGTTAATGGCTTTTAAAGACAAACTGTTCAATGCTAGAGTTGATGCTTTTGTTGACAATAAGGCCGTTGTCGAGGCTTGGAACAACCAGGGTGGTAGAAGCTTGGAGCTTAATATGGCATTGAAACGGCTTTTCTTCACAACGTCGAAGCTTAGCTTATCTCTGCACATGTCTTACATGCCGACTGGTCAGAATCCTGCTGATGCTCCATCAAGGCGCCTGTCCCACTCAGATAGTAAATTGTCGGATGGCTTGTGGCAGATTGTTCAGAAGGAGTTTGGTGGTAGGGAAGGCCATACTTGCGACCTTATGGCCTTGGATTCGAATAGTATGACGGATGTGCACGGGTATTCTCTCCCTCATTTTACGCCGATTCCCTCTCCCGGATCGTCTGGTGTAAATCTCTTCACACAGGACCTTGCTTCCCTCGGAGCGCTTATGGCCAGACCGTATGTTTTTCCTCCCATGGCTTTAACGGGACCTGTATTAAAATTTCTGCAGAGTTTTAAACAGTCGTGCACAGTAGTGGTGCTGGACGTGTTTCCCAAGAAGTACTGGTGGCCTCTCCTTATGAATAAAGCTGTAAAGAGTAGATGTCTGGCTGTTCGTGGCGATGGCAACGCTCTCTTGGTCCCGTCCAAAAAGGGGTGGCTGCCTCACAAGGGCATTCCTGGAGATCTCTGGGTTTTTGCAGTGTGTTTTTAGGTGTGTCTTGGCATACATTTTGATCTGTTGTGCTACTGGTTTGTGGTGTATGATAGGTTCTTCTTTTCTGGTTTGTAGGAGCTTCCAGTCATGGCAAAGCTGTTTGTCCAGTAGGTTAAATGCCCAACCTGTGGACACGCTAATCATTTTGACTTCCGTTTTTGTCAACGTTGTGGCTACAAGCGAAAGGTTATGACAACGCTTGTCAAGGAACACTCTGATGTTATCGTTGACCTTGATGGAATTGAAGTGCGGTTGCAGCAGTTACTTCACTACGATCAGGCAACCAGTTATAAAAAGCAGAAGGATTCTCTTCAGAGGGAACTTGAGGCTTTTCTTGGTGCTCTGCCGGGTTTTGTTACTCTCGCGACAGTGACGCCTAGGGACTTGTGTCGCTTCCTGATCTTTAAAGACAAGCGTGGCAAAACACAGGTACACCTCAATACGTGTGAATTTTTGGGTCAGCGTGGTAAACAGTCATGTGGCTGCCCCTTGAGATTGTCGTACAAGACTGTGGACTCTTACATAGGAAAGTTAAGATCGATTTTTCATTCCATTGGCGGGACGGAGAGTGGGACAAGCGGCTAGGTCTTGGTAACCCAGCCTCTGGTAAATTGGTCAAAGATTACCTTCGTCTTGTCACAGCGGAGCAGTTACAGGCCCGTGTTACTCCAAAACAAGCCACGCCATTCTTTGTGGACAAATTGACTCAGTTATCGAAGTATCTTGAAGGCGAGCTAGCGAGATCAAAGTCGAAACTTGACCGTTTCATTATCGCACGTGACCAAGCTTATTTTAAGTTGGCGTTCTTTAGTGGGGACCGCCCAGGAGATCTTGGTCAGGTAAAAGTTCCGGAGATCCTTCGTTTTCCAAATGATGATGGGTTCTATTTAATCATATCTGGGGTAAGACTTTGCGGGATGGTGACATTAATGTCGTTGGTGTTCACAGAAATCCCCAGTCGGTCATCTGTCCTGTGAAGGGCGTTGAGCAATATGTCGAAGTGGCAAGGGAGTTAGGCGTTGATTTAACAAAGGGATATTTGTTTCGTCCGACAACTTCTAATAATGGTGTCCAAGATTCTCCATTTAGTTCTTCAGCAGCAGATGCGCGTCTTAAAGTGTATCTCAAGCAGACGAAAGCTGATGATGGTGAGACATTGCATGGCTTTCGTTCGGGTTGTGCGATAACGTTGGCCCTCACAGGAGCGGATCTGTCTGAGATTATGGAACACGTGGGTTGGGCTAGGAGGCATACCGCCTTATATTACCTTCAGCTGGCCAAGGTTCTGAAACATGATGGCCCGTCGGGACGACTTGCTACGCCTTCTGCTGAGAATGTGGTGGCTCCATGGCAGGATGTGAATCAGCTGAAACGTTTTGTGTGTGCTTTTCCAGCTGCTGAGCAGAGGAAACGCCCAGCAGAATGAGGATACTTTGTTTGGCTAGGGTGTTTTTGGAATGGATTATAACCTTTGTACTTTCGTTTCTTTAATGAAGAGATGTTGTTATGGAAACTCATACCAGTTTAGTTTGATTATAATTGTAAACATATAGCTGTGTCTTACTGTACTTGGGGATTAAAGTTATGAGAGAGGTTGGAGGATTGAGGATTGGGAAGTTGTAAGAGGGTTTGAGAGTCGGAGTGCAATTATCTAAGACTATTTAAGGAACAGTGAGGGCTGTTGGGCGCTGATCAATCTTTTTTCCCATACCTTATTAGAACTGAGCATGAATATGAATGTATGTGAATAGAATACTATTCACAACACTCATAATGATATGCGAGGTTAAAATAATTCAATAATGGGTTCTTTCATGGCTAGTCTAGCGGTCTCACGTGCGATTACGTAATTACCGATAATAAATTCTGGTTTGGCGCGAAAATAAACCATTCTTGCTCTGTTTTTCAGCGGAGCCGCGAAGAGGTGGACGGCCCACCCAGTCCCGCCCAAAAATCGCGTGAGTCGTATCTCGAACTCTTCCTAAGCCAAGCTGTCCCAGCTTGGCTTAGTCCGCTGATCAATCTTTTTTCCCATACCTTATTAGAACTGAGCATGAATATGAATGTATGTGAATAGAATACTGACTCCATTAAAATTATCTGTCAAACCATTACAAATAGGATGATAAAGGGGATTTTGTAAGCTATGTAAGGCTTGGAATTCGAGCACGTTTTTTGATAGACAAGTACGTTGAAGCTGGGTATCAATGTCAATCAAAATGTCTTTGAGAATTCCCAGCTGGTTGAATATATATAAAAGCGTATCAGTAGCATAACAGACATGGTATCGACGGCGTACCTACCTCACTACTCCTTTGTGCTCATTCTCAGTTGATTAAAGTCTGAATACCCTTTACCAGGAAAATGCAACTTAACCCTAACCAGAACGGGGGGAGGGAGGCGTTTTTAGCCCCCCCCCCCCTCGCAAAAAAAGTCGAATAACTTGAAAACCGTTAAAGCTATGACTGTGTAATTTTTGTGACCGTAGCGTAAGTGGTTTTGAAGTTATAGAGGGGACCTATAAATCTCCTCCCCCTTGTCGCAGGAATAAAAAACGGTCTCAATAGGGTCAAGTAGTTCGACCGAGCATTGTGCAGGAGACGCGGTGAAACCTTTTTGCTATCGTGTACTCCTTGTGCAAGGACAAAGAGAGAGGATCTTCGCCACCCGGCTAACGCGTTCGAGGAGTTCTTTTGTAAGAAAATCCTGACCCTCAGAAGCGACGTCAATGACACCACGTCCTTTATAACAAATCCAGATCCAGATGAACACCGTACAACAAAGAGGAATCTTAAGAGCTTCAGATGAGACGACATGGAAAGGTAAGTACTTCATCAAACGCTTTCTGTCAGCTTGGCAAGCTCTCCCTATGGCTCCTCAGCAGTGCGCTGATGTCTTAACGCCTACGACAACCAAACTCAAAAACCATTCTCCTCAGAAGAGATGGATTCTTGCGATTGAATTTCGCTCTCTATATTATCCTTTTTCTTCAGTAACTGGGCGTAGAACTGATATAAAGGGCCTCTAGTCCCGTGCGAAACCTTCCATTCACCAGGAAGAGTGCAGAGAGGGAAGTGGTTCAACAGTCCTTTGACCAATACATTGCTTCGGCGCTTCTACCGGAAAACCAGTCATCCTATCACCGAGGTCATACCACTGAAACGGCACTTTTTAAAGTCCATAACGACAACGTGATGAACATATCGACAAAGGAGATAGAACCCTTTTAGTTCTTCTTGACTTCAGTGCGGTACTTTATATTACTGTCTTTTAACACAATCGAACATGAGACCTTGCATGGGTTAGAAAACTTGGCGACAGCTGACTCGGTTGGCAATGCGAAGAAATAGATTTGTCCTTCCTCTTTTGTCGTGATCAGAATTTTATCGTCAACCAGAACCCCTCCCTTCGGAGTAGATTTTGGCCTTGCGCAAGGTAGGTGGCTGGGGTCGAACCTATTTATCATGTATGCATCTGAGTGAGTGAATGTGACGAAGAGAACATTTGTAATGATGTGGAGGAGAATGTTAGATATGATTGGGATAGTGACGAACAGGTCGAAAAAAGAAAAAAAAAAGACCAGGAACCATAATGTTTGCTGTCAATGCTTATGAAAGTTGCTTGAACCTAGAGAGCTAAGGCTACGTTACTTTTTGTACTTTTTGTACTTAGCACTGGTATTGCCTTAGCCTGTATATTTAACAATACCTGCACAGCCATAAACTTCCATTCTTATGGCAGATTCGTTGTGCGATTCTAAGGGTAGAATCCGGAGAAATCGTGCTGTAATCGGCGGGAATATTACGTTTTTCACAACGGTGTCACTGTCTTGATTCCCGTCAAAAATCTAGTTATAAAAGAGGCAGATTGACACATTAGTAAATGGAATTTGCGGCTTTGAATTAATACGAATAAGCAGGAAATGAAATTAATATTTCTGCGGTATGGGAGCAGTTGGAACTGGCCTGGGCGGTTTAAGTTGAAGTAAAGCATCGGTAGAATGAAGTGCTTTAAAAAGAGAGTTTTAACTGATCTCCTGTATCAAAAAAGTTGGCGTTTTTTTTATAATCTTGAGAACTTCTGTTAATAAATTCAAAAGCATGCTCTAACCCACTTCTCGTGGTTATTTCGTATAGGCCTTCCTCCTATTCGGTCGAACTTTTCTCGCACTATGAGACTCTCATCGAAAAAGTAGATTCTTCCAGTTTTGAATAATATCTAATGGGTGACTTGAATAGCATCTGGCCTCTACCCAGTACCACTCCAACGCTTACTATGAGAAATGTCTGATATCTATAGGCTACAAGAACTTATAACAGAACCGATCGTATTACTGAATCATCATCGTCGTTAATTGAAGTAATATTCTCAAGCTGAATCAACAGGGCAGTCTTTTCCGAGGTTTTAAATACTCGCATTAGTGATCAAAGTCTCGTGTGTCGTAAACTATCCCTGGACTTTCCTTCCAAGGGTATTCCAATAAAACTTACCAAACCTTTGGTAAGTTTACTCGAGAAACCTTTCGCCGCGATATTTCTCGACAGGATTGGTCCTGTGTCTGTGACGTTTTGTGTGCTGAATGGGAAGCTAAATTTTTTACTATTGTAAACAGTCATGCACCAATCAAAACAAAACGTATTAGGCCAGGCAAAAAAGTACCTTGGATTATATCAGATCTGCGAAAGGGTATGCGCGATCGTTATATTGCTAAACGGAAACCTGTTAAGTCTCTGTTAAGTCTCGCGATCCTCAAGACTGGGATTTGTACAAAAGGCTACTTAATAAGATTGATGGAGATGTAAAATCTAGTACTTAAGTATCCTATTACTGTACCAATGCATTTCTTCAGTCTAATGGCGACTCACGTAGAACCTGGCAAATGACTAAACAACTCCCGTCCCGTCAGACTAAACGAGAACTCAGTCACCAGTTCTCACGAGTTCTCCGATGCATTTAGGGCCTGTTTCCATGGAGGCAGGGGACCCCAGGTAGGTGAGATAACCCGCTTAGGTGGGGTAACCACCTATCCATATAATATTTCATTTTAATTTGATCACGTGTACATAATAGGTGGGGTGACCCGCCGCATGTTGCCTCACCTATCTGGGGTCCGCCACCTCCATGTAACTGGTGCTTAATGACCACTTTTCAACAACTAAAACCAAACTTGCCAATGGGGTACCCCTTTTTACCGATGATTCAAATATGTTGATTACAATGTTGGTAGCAACAAGTTTTTTTTTCATTCCAATCAGTTGTAGTTATGTTTTTTTCTTCCTTAAATAATCTATCTAAAACCAAAGCAACAAGTCTATATAGTAATTTATTTGTGCCAAACTAATTCGAGAATGTGCGGATCTTATCTCGATCCCTTTATGTCAGTTTTCAATAAGTCTCTAAGTTCTGGTTTATTTCCAGATGACTGAAAATGCGCTGTAATGACTCCATTATATAAACAAGGTGAGCGAACTATTGTGAATAATTATCGGTCAATCTCTGTAATCTCAGTAAATAGCTGAATTATTCGAGAAAATAGTGCATGATCAATTGTATAGCTTTTTTATTATTATCAATGAAAAGATCATCACTAACCAACAATCAGGTTTTCGCTCCTTGACACTGCTCTCTTTGAAGCGACTAATAGCTGGTCTGTCATTATATATCGCGGTAACGTAAATGCAATGGTTTTCCTGGACCTGAAGAAAGCGTTTGATACCGTTGATCGCGATGTTGTTTTAGCGAGACTAAGTCTGTACGGATTACAGGAGACTGCTTACGATTGGTTTAAATACTATTTAAACAACCTTACCTACAAATGTGTTGTTAATGGTTTGCTTTCCAAAGTCTGTTCTTTGGGCTGCAGGGTTCCGCAGCGAACTATTCTAGGCCCTCTTCTACTTCTATCTTTCTAACTATATTTAGCGATTTGCGAAACTGCTTTTCGTTCTGCTACATTGTCTGAATCCCGTGATCTTTCGATAGATAATGCTTCTATAAAACAAGTATCCAGTACTAATTCACTTGGGATTTTTTTTTAATGATAGTCATATCGACAAACTATCCAAAAGATTGCCTCTGGCATAGGCGCCATAAGACGACTTAGTCCCTTCGTTTCGCAGCAGATGGTCAAGCCATTTTTTAGTGAAAATGCTATTTTTTCTCAACCTTTTTCAAGGATAAAAGTAGAGTTTGTGGATAAAATAATGCAACGTAATTATTTGTGTTTTTTTCACTGTTAAGTTTTGCGTAATTTCGTATTCGTGATAAAAAAAAAAGATGGCGGCCAAGGTGGCGACCACAGTCACAGTTACAGACCTCCACCAGCGCCAC